GTTATGATGATATTGAGCACACAATGATTTGGTCTGTGCCGTAATAGAACCGCTACACGTTACGCGGTATCTGGTTGCCGTATACGTCGTAGAAATTGTCGGTTCTTCGGGGCCTCTGAGGCACGGGCGCCGAGTGTCCTTATGATAAAGACAGTACTGAGTGTAATCCCAAACTCTATCTTTATTTATTTATTTATTTATTTTATTTATTTATATTTAAGAACACTTAAACTATCATTACAGGGCATCATGTACCCTAATGCGACAGCTAAGAACCAAACCAAATATACAATATAAACCAACACCAACTAAACCAACAATAACAATATATAGAATCAAAAATAGGAAAAAGCTATACATTATTAACCAACATAATTAAAAATTACATGTCATTATTGAAATTATCGAATCTAATAAAAATACATAATATTATTTTACTTATAACACAATATAAACAGTAATACCCTCGCGAATTCACCAAAACAACATGTTCTTCAAAAGGTTGACAAAGCATTTATTGTAACTTTTCTTCAACGTTAGCATGGATGGTACTAAATGCTTGTCGTCAGTTGACCCGTCTGCTTGTTTGACGCTGTAACCCATTTCACAAAACAATAATAACTATTACCACCTTTAACCGGTAACTGGAGGCAGATAATTCGATTAATAATCTGATTCTGACTTAGTGCTGATCATCTTAATAAGAAAGGTACAAGAATTAATTGATAATTTCCACTTGTCTGTGTGTCATCACCTCTAAAACGACTGGACAGTATTATGATGCGGGTTTCTTTATAAGCATTCTCTTGCAGTGTACCGACAGACGGCGGTGAAGTAGGAGCGTGAGTATTGCGTGAAAATATGAGTGCTGTCTCTTTTTCGCGCCTATAAAACTGTAGGATGGTCTCTTTCTAACATAATATCCCTATAGTTACATTTTTAAAATTTTCATTGAGTAATTTCGTTTTTAAGTATCAAATTATGAGTGAATTTCGTTAGTCGACCAATCAACCTTTTTCTAAATGGTCTTTAGTTTCAGAAATAAGGTTTGTAATAGGATAAATGCCTAATTTTTATTTTCATGTCCGTCTGGTAGATTATTTTAAATCATTAAACACGTATTTTTTATTTTCTTACAGACTCTTACAGAAACGAATACTTTCGACGATATATTGATTTGAAATGTCGCGTGACGTCACTTCTATGCACATTTTATACGTAGAAATGACGTTTTAGCCCCCATTCCTAAACTTTGATTCGTTTTATCTAAGTATTATTTATTTTATTATACAACAAAATAAAAAATACGTGTGTAACATTTTTTCATTGTCTAACTGAGGGACTAATTAGGTTTTTAATTTTGATACCCTGGAAACTACCCAATTATTCAAATCGGACCAGTAGGTAGTTACGGAGATTAGCGTGTTTAAACCAAAGATACATTAGGGAACACGTGGCGCTAGCGACGTTGTGTGAAGTATCGCAACGTTGCCGGACTTTGGTCGACATGTCTGGCAACATCAACGTCACTGTAGACATAAGGCGCGCGTTCTTTTTTTTTCTTTTTTTTTAAAAAAACGTTGCCCCACTCTAGGATTTTCTCCTGTGTCGTGGGTGCGTTTACAAACATACAAGTTCACATACACAATATGACACCCAGACCCGAAACAACAATTTGTGGATCACACAAAGTGTTGTTCCGTGCGGGAATCGAACCCGCGACACGTTGCACGGCAGCCGGTTGCCCAGCCACCGCACCAACCGTGCAGTCAGTTGTCGCCTTATAATATAGGTCGGTCGAAATCGGCGGGTCATGGGGCATTTGGGTACTTGTTGTTGGACTGTTCAATACAATGAAATATTAAAAATAATCACACTTTCATTAATTGATTTTATAACCAACTTAATTTTAGTATTATTCCAGCAAATTTTGACGAAATAAGTATGCTGTTTGACGTTAAAAAACGTGACGTCTACTACACAATCTCGTACGAAATTCATAGAAAACTGTCGTTTTTGACAGTTCGAAAAAAAGTATTGAATTTCATTAGTTGGCAATTACCTATTTGTCCAAGATTAATAAGATCAAGTTTAGCGATGTATCCTTGCCTTTTAACAAAATAAATAAATCTGTATGGAGTAGGCTGCGCGACATCGCCGCGATCGCGCACGCGGCTCATGAGGAAGAACCCCTCTGTGGTTCGAAATTAGTAGAGCTTTTCTCAGTATATTCACGTTTGTCTATTTGTAGTTAATTTTAAGTTGCAAACATTTATGTAGTTATAAACAATGTAATATATTTTCGCTATAAATATCTATCCTAAAAAAAGTATGTCTCTCGATAGTTATTATAAAAACAAAATAAAATCTATTTTTGACTGCACAAATCATTATGGTACATCATTGGCTGAATCTATCTACGTACATCCCTCTAATCAGCTCATCTGAAACATTCCAATTTCCTCCCCAGAATTGAGCCAGTGAACGAGAATGAGCCAGAAGGTCAAAAACTCAACGTGTACGTCGGCGGTGGATCACTGATCCATCCCAGCGTAGTGCTCACAGCTGCACACTACGTCGCCAGCGCTAAGGCATTGAGGATCAGAGCGGGAGAGTGGGACACACAGAGCACGAAGGAGATCTATCCGTTCCAAGACAGAGATGTCGCCTCTGTTGTGACACATAAAGATTTTAATAAAGGTAAGAACACACATCGCGTCGTAACACCCATTTTTCACTATTTATGTTATGAGTCCCATGTAATTGGGGGTGAGCCTATTGCTATATACCGGGTACAATTCCAGACTCCGTGCTACTATTGAGATTTTTTTTTTAAATCCAGTAAGTCTTTGCCCGACTCGGGAATCGACGGCCAACAAGGCAGTCAACGTCGACAAAGTCAGTAAAAGCAAGAACTTCTCTAATATCTCCTGACTAGCTACTACGGTAGCGGTTATACCCGCTCTGCTCACCTCCTAATGATCGTAGCATGATGTTTTATAGCCTATAGTCTTCTTCGATAAATAGGCTATCCAACACAAAAATATTTTATCATACATACAACCAAACAAACAACTCTTCAGCTTTATGAATACTGAGAATAAGAATTATTTGGTTGCGGGAACCAAGTCGTTCATGTCTCTAGGTCGCGCTAGACTTCAATGTTCAGTGTCATGGCTGTATCTACTATAGATCCTGGTGCACAGGACTTGCAGCGGTATTAAGAAATAGTAGTGGGCTTGTCTTAAAAAAAGTAGGCACAGTATATTTACTCCACCCGCAGGTCTCATAGAAGCGATAGGATAAACTGGTAATTTGGAAGGGACTGGATAGCAGCGCTCTCTGATAAAACTGCGAACCCTAAACCACCCTTGATAGGCCCACATATTATATTAAGCCCTCTTTAGTAGGAGGTCCATAGTTTTAATAATTGACGTTCATACAGTTTCATGGTTAACCACATCAAAGGAGTAAAATTTGTTGCTACGGGGCCCGAAACAAAACGGGGCCCCGTTTAATCAAAGTCACCGCTTAATACAGCCCTGCTTTTTTAGTGAAATTCGTGTTTTTTTTTTAATGGGACCAGCCCGCCACAACCTCCTAAAACCGCTGCAACTCCTGTAAGCCAGGATCTACAGTAGATACAACCATGGAAACACCGGAACACTGAAGTCCGCCGCGTCTTGGTTCCCGCAACGAAGTGAATCAGAAGATATTATAATAAGGGAAAAGAAAAAAAACGATAGTTTCCACTGTCACACAGAAATTAGTTGTTTGTCTAATGCCTGGGAAATATGAAGACTACCGAATAGACACGTAGGTTTAAGATACAGGGTCCCTGAATTGAATTTGCTAAGGGCCCCACATTTGATTAGTCCACCACCATAGACTGTTATTGATGACGTATTTAAATTAATCTATCTTTATACAAATATATAATTCTTCTGTGAGTGTGTATGTCACTGAACTTCTCTCAAACGACTGGACCGATTCTGATGACATTTTTTGTGTGTGTTCAAGGGGATCTGGGAATGGTTTAGATTCACAAATCAGCCCGGCAGATGGCGCTGCGGTCGCTGTTTAGGTTAGTTATCCTAAGCGGCTGAACTAATTTGAATGAATTTTTGTTTATACATTCAAGTGGATATGCAGGACATCGTCTGTCGGGTCCGCTAGTTTATATATAGAAATGAAACCCTTTTCCCGTTGTCACGCAATAACTTTAGAACGGTTAGATCGATTTTTATTTTTGTTGTGTTTGTTATTGTCAGGAGAAGGTTCTTAAGACAGAAAATATTCTGAAAATCCTATGGGAACGGGAGAAAACGGGATTGCGCGTACGAAGTCGCGGGCAGAAGCAAGTTTGATAATACATTATGTTAATTCATTACAGGGAACCTCTTCTATGACATCGCAGTACTGTTCTTGGCTCAGCCAGTGGACCTGGCTCCTAATGTAGGTGTAGCATGCCTGCCGCCTCCCAAACAACGCCAGGATGATGGCACCCGGTGTTTCGCCACTGGATGGGGTAAAGATAAATTCGGCAAGGAAGGGCGGTACCAAGTTATTTTGAAAAAGGTAAGTTGTTGATGTCAAAATTGGTCTTTTGATGTTATTTTGAATGCCTCTGAAGGTCAAAGGTCTGCTAATTTGTGCAGCCTCGAGTGGTTTTTTATAAACGTGATTGCCAAGCTCGGGGACTCGAGGTCGATTCTCGGTAAAAGTTGAGGTGTAAAAACTCCATAGCCATAGCTCGCAAGGAATCTAGAATAAGGTAGTTTTAACGGTGGGCCGTGTCGTGTCCGTTTTTAAGAAGCGCACACGACACGGCCCACCTGATGGTAAGCGGTTACCGTGGCCTATGTACGCCTGCAACACCAGAGGCGTTACAAGTGCGTCACCGGCCTTTGGGATTAGGAATTTGAAGGATTGTTGGCGATTCAGGGATTTGGGAAAAAGGAGGGGGGGGGGGGGAATTGGGCATCCGGTAACCTCATTCCTCACAGAAGACAGACCAAACACACGTTGTTTCACGTCGGTCTTCTGTGAGGCCGTGGTATCACTCCGGTCGAGCCGGCCCATTCGTGCCGAAGCATGGCCCTTCCAAAAAACATTACATGCATTTTGCCGACCCTTAAGAAACCTATTCACTCCCCTCTTGAAGAACCCCAAGTTGTGATGTGCATAAATGTTTGTGAACAAGCCACTGGGCTTGTGAAGGAGATTCTATTCCAGGAGGCTTACTCTTGAATCCAATTCCGATCGATCGACATTGGTATTGCGAAAATTCGTACTCTTGAGTTGCTACACTAGCGCCCATTGCATCCGTATTGCATGAATACTAAATGGTATTGAGTTTGGCTTTTTATCCCGTACTCTGAATGCTATATTAACAGCTACGATTGTGGTTGTATAGTTTTGAAATTGAATAATTATTGAGATTTTATTGTATTGAAATTGAAACATTGAGATTGGTTTCAAGAGTAAGCACCCAGTACTGGACGAAGCATTATATTGTTAACATCAGCCCTAATACATAATTTCCTTTTAGATCGAGCTGCCGGTAGTGAAACACGACAGATGTCAGACAGCTCTTAGAAAGACGCGTCTAGGAAGATTCTTCCAGCTTCACTCCTCATTCATGTGCGCTGGTGGGGAACCAGGGAAGGATACCTGCAAGGGAGACGGCGGTTCTCCTCTGTCCTGTCCTATTGAGGTAAGTTGTCTAAAGAAAGATACCTATTAGTAGTCTATGTATTGCATTTATTTATATATGTATTATATAGTAATTATATCATACTAGCTTTTACCCGCGGCTTCGCTCGCATCACAAAAGGATAAAAAGTAGCCTATGTGACATATACCATTCGACATACACACATACACACAGCGCCATCTATACCAATACTTTTGTTTTCCCTCGGGAATATCAAATTTTTCCGGGATAAAAAGTACCCTATTATTTAATCCAGACTTCTAACTTTACGTCTGCAAAAATTCAAAGCAATCGGTTTAGTAGTTACGGCGTGAAAGCGGAACAAACAAACAAACAAAGTCACTTTCCAATTTATAATATTATTAAGGATTATATGTAGGTATGCTTATTTGGGATATATATTTATTATATAATTCATTTTAAGTCCCTATGTCTTTAGTTATGTATTATTATAACAATCATGTCTTCCCTCTTTAATATTTTATTAGGTACCTTAACTTTTGTTATCTACTTCTTACTTTCTTTTCTATAATTTTGCACCTACCGCTTTAACTTTCTGCACCACCCAATGGTCGACTGTTAGAAAATGCCTACGTCATTAAGTCCGCCAATTTCACTATATGTGCAATAAAGTTTAATAAATAAAATAAAATGTTATTCGTCACCTTTGTTCTTGCCGCAATGTCGTAGAAACTAAGGTCTTTAATACACGGGCGGTTTTCCCACAGCGGGAATCCGCTTCTGAACCGCACTAGGCTCAATTATTTAAGAACATTGTATAAACGCAACCCCACTGTTGCATCAACAACTTGCAGAATATGAAGGCCAGAAACGGAGATTTATTTATTTATTTATTTATTTAAGGACAACCAACAAAGCATACACCAAAATACATGAAAGGTTTTTAACATAATATTTTAACACTCTATAGTGTAGCCTTAATTAAAGGCTGCCACGACATGCATTATGAAAGAACAGGATAAACAACAAAAAAAAAACAAAAAGTTCGCTTATCAAAAAAGACATCAATTTCAATCACAATTGTTAAATTTAAATTTTTACTTCTTCTCAACTTTTAAATTGTAAAATTTTGATTTGAATATGTAGTATAAAGGAAACCACTTAGTATCGATAATACAGAATATTGTTTTCATTCAAAGCACATTTACAATAACGAAACAAATATTACATCTCTCGTCAATAGTCCGGTCCGGCGCCGCCAACAGAAATGACGCTATCCGTTCAAAATCCCATTCGTTTTCCCGCCTTTTTCGACCGCATTCTAGAAATCGTCAGATGACGTTTCGAGAATTCAAGCCCGTTCTATTTTATTTTCAAACCCGCGTTCTCGATGTCGTTAGTTGACATTTCGAGAATCCAAGTCCGATTTAATTTTATGTTTGTTTATTATTAAACTTCACAAAGAAGTTAAGTCTATTACACAATAAAAAATACAAATTAAATAATTAAATTAAACCATAATATAAATAAACCACTGCGGCAAAGGGTTGTCGTGCAAAGGGTTATTCATTCTCAGTTTAGCTAAGTTTATAGTATTCGCGTATAGAACCTATGACAAGAGAGTCAATAAAACTATCATAAGTATAAAATCTAATAATATACCTACTTTCCTTTCTTTCTAGTACGAAAAAGACCGCTACGTTCAAAGCGGTATTGTAGCCTGGGGTATCGGATGCGGTGAAGATGGAACTCCTGGAGTCTACGTAGACGTTTCAGTCCTGAGAGATTGGATCGACGACAAAGTGGTCGGCAAAGGATATGACCCCAAAACATACACTTATTAAACATTCTCGACGTTTTAGACACTCAAAATGGCGGATATTTGACAGTTAAAGAGTAAAACATTTGAACTTGCTCTCGTCTTTTATCACCATTTTTTAATCTTTTTATAACCTAAAATACTGAGTTAATAGATTTCTTTTCGTTCTATCTCAATTAAAGACGGCATTTTACATAAAACCCTCTATTCATATATTAATTTCAAACTGTCAATAATCCGCCATTTTGTTTGTAACTGTCAACTAATGCAATGTTACATGCTCAAAATATTATCTAAGTACCTACTGACATTTTTGACAAATAAAATTATATTTTACTATTATACACAACAAAAAATTATGTGATTTTTTTATACTCTCTTGTTTTTATTTTACGAAATGTTTCTTATTTTTTGGTTTATTACAAAAAACAGTTAGTGTCTAAGTTTAATTTAGTTATTGAACTTAAACATTAAAGTTACCTAATGAGATTGTGTCTTGTTTCCCTACTCAATGTTTTTTAAGAAAAAATAAATAAATAATATATTTTAAGAACTATTTGTTTTCTTTTACTCCTCCACCCTCTACTGAAGAGTTTATAAAACTAAAATATTTATAAATTAAGTAAGATATTTACGTTTTTACGTAAAAATCGCGGGTTACTCATATGAAAATACTGAGAAAAGCCTACTGTAGTTTAGGCTGCACGACATCGCCGCATACGTTGCTCATGCGGAAGAACCCCTCTGTGGTTCGAAACTAGTAGAGCTTTTCTCTGTATATTCACGTGAGTAACCCGCGATTTTTAGTTAAAGATACTTCGCTTGTTTAGTATTTACTCGAAAATGTGGATTATCGTCAACTGTAACAACAGCCGGAAGACATCCACTGCTGGGGAAAGGCCTCCCCCTTAGTCCTCCACGTCGAACGACAACTCGCCACCCGCATCCACTGGCTCCCCGCAACTTTGGCGATGTCGTCGGTCCACCTAGTGGGAGGCCTGCCCACGCTTCGTCTTCCTGTGCCACTCAAAGACTTTCCTGGCCCATCTGCCGTCAGCCCGTTGAACGCCATGGCATGCCCATTGCCACTTTAATCTGCAGATTTTGCGAATTAGGTTATCTAATTAGGATCTCTAGTTCTTTGGCAAATTTCCATATTTCGGATTTTGTCGCGCAAGGAATCTCCGAGCATAGCTCTCTATATAGTGTGCTATAGCTACTTTAAGCTTTTCTAAAAGGCCAGAGTTCAGGGACCACGTCTCGGTACCATACGTCATCACTGGCAAAACACACTGATTAAACATCCTGTTGTCTTTAGGCACTGAGAGATTTTCGATGAGAAAATTACGCCAAACTTCCTGAAGGCGATTCTTCAGGCGATATCTTAGTCAAAGTTGGGCCTACCTAGTTGGATAATCTACCCTAAGTATGCATAATGCTCTACAACTTCAAGGATATCGTTTCCAACGATGACCGATAGCCGTATGAGTGCAACATGGATGTTTGACATGATTTTGGTCTTGTCCATGTTCATTGTAAGACCCACCTGTTGGACAACTATATCGAGGTCGCTGAGCATAGCGTTTAGGTCCTCCAGTGACTCCGCCATGATGACTATATCACCAACAAAGCAGAGTTGTGTGATGTATTCGCAATTGATATTGATGCCCAGTCCACTCCAGTTCAAGAGTTTGAAAACGTTCTCCTATGCATTTGCGAAAAGTCAGTGCTGGTCCTAAGAACATTTTTAGATGGAGCAACAACTAAAAATGGCGCCCCTTTAAAAAAAGGGGATTTATTGTTATTACAACTATGTACACTCGCCGGAAAATATACTACAAAAATAACGAAAGGCCTCCACAAGTAGATGGCTCCTACTTGTGGGGGCTTTTCGTTTTTTTTTTGTTTTGGCACACCTCTCGATGTACTTTATGCCTCTAGCTAGTATTTAGCAAAGTCATCTAAAAATGCTTGCCATGGGTATAGTTTCAGTCATTGCTACGGTGTGAAGTTTTTTTTATTTTTTCTATAGCCGGTAAACGAGCAGACGACGGATCACCTGATGGTAAGCAATCGGCGCCGCCCATGGACACCCGAAACACCAAGGCGTTACAAGTGCGTTACCGGCCTTTTAGGAGTTAGGAATTTGAAGGTTGTGGAGGATTCGGGGATTCGGGAGACGGGGACTAGGGAGGGGGGTAATTGGGCCTCCGGTAACCTCACTCATACGACGAAACACAACGCAAGCGTTGTTTCATGTCGGTTTTCTGTGAGGCCGTGGTATCACTCCGGTCGAGCCGGCCCATTCGTGCCGAAGCATGGCTCTCCCATACTTAGTACCGTCTCACCTTAAGCAGTAAACCCAACTTCCTACCAGCCAGTTGTGCTTTAGACTCTATGTAAGAACCAAAGTTAAGCGTGAGTTTCAGAGATACGTTACAAAGTTCAAAGTGGCCAGATAACGGAACGGATACATTCCGGAGTCAACGGAAAATGCCTACGTTTAGGGACGAGAGCAAACACGCCTAGATTTTTATGACTTGTTTGTTGAACTTGACCAAGTTATTGTTACCCCAGTTGTTTGACTGCACAGTTGGTGCGGTGGCAGGACAACCGGCTGCCGTGCAACGTGCCGCGGGTTCGATTCCCGCACGGAACAACACTTTGTGTGATCCACACTTTGTGTGATCCACAAATTGTTGTTTTGGGTCTGGGTGTCTTTGTGTATGTGAACTTGTATGTTTGTAAACGCACCCACGACACAGGAGAAAATACTAATGTGGGACAGAGTTTTTTTTTAAAAAGAAAGACAGATATAAATGGACCGCCTTCTAGGATGAGTTAGCACGTGATCAATCTCCAAGGATAGGCAAAACAGGCATATCAGGATTGGAGTCAACTCAGGCGCTAATATTCTCTCAGGTCGGAATTCCGTCTGGTCCACTGGCTTTGTTCACATCAAGGTAGCACTGCATTTCATAAACTTCCTGCTGTCGGCTGCGAATATCTGACATACTCGTCTCGCATGATCTACTAAGAGAAGAAGGTGAAGCGCCACCAGCGTCTAGACGCGAGGACTCTGCAAAGAAAGAAATGAACAGGTTCACTTTCTTTATTGAGGGTGGGCCAACGTTATGTCAGATTTCAGCAATGGTGGAAGTGAGGGCTGAGGGGCGGGCGACAGAAGTTTGATTCAAACACCTTGACTAATGACCAGAGACCAAAAACACTTTACTACTGAATAAGAAACAAATTCAGCAGTAATGTTGTTAAACCGAGCGTTCCGCAGAGCCCTTTTGTTTCACCTGGTTCTGATGATTACCAGTTAAAGACTCTTTTCTTACGTTACCAATCTTACAGTTCTTAGCATCGGTCCATTCCAACGTATGCAGCGTGCCATCAGAAGAGAAGCAAAATGACGGAGCAAAATCAAGGATGCGATGAAAGAAAAATATCCCATTCGAATCTGCTTACTCGTATCGCCGCAGCTGCCGAGATCCTTTTTCGCTGGGATCAGATGAGATGGCACAGATTTCATCAGTCAGTGGTCGCAACTACATAGTTGATGAGACTGACAGCGTTCTGGATCAGTCTTCAGCAGAAAGTTTAAGCAATG